AAAATATTAGAAAAAAAAAATCAAGATCCCTCACACTACTGCATCAAAAAAATTCTGTTATGTTATGATTCAGGTGTGCAATGCACTATATATATTTTTTTTGGGCTTCTTAAAAATACTAAAAATATATATTAATTGAACTTTAAGGAACTTTAATCATTCAATAGAAATGGAATTGTTCAATTCAGTCACAAAAAACAATTTTTTAAAAAATATTTCAAGACAAAACTTATATATCTCATTCCTCAGATTCACCACAATGTTCTTTTTGGATTAAACCTTAACCAATTCATCCGTCTCCACATCGGCGCAGTGCAAACATGAGCGAATTACTTAGCAATGTCTGGGGACAGAGAGAGAAGGAGGCCCTGCGGCCAATCGCTCAATGAGTGTGGAACGAAGCCCAAGTTTCTCAGGAACACTCATAAAGCGTTGCGCCGCTTTACAACCCCATTGCTCAACATCACATGCCTTGAGAGAAGGGATATTACCTGAGATAAGGCGAGAGGGATCAAGCTTGGCACCAATCTGACCTCTCCCTCTATCCCTCCTCGCACACACACAAACTCAGGGAGTGGGACATTTTCATAGGGGGCTTTCAGACCTCCCAGGGCTTTCTGAATGACATTAAAAGTCAGGCACTGATGCACAGTAGCTATGTGACGTATTTGCTAAAACGAGCTCCTTCTCTCTCTGAACCACTGACCCCGGGACTATTATATGTCTTGCTGGAAAGCAGTCGAGAGCAAGATGTTTTGCCGAAATCAAAGAGGATCAGTGCAGCACCGCAAGGACTGTGTCACTTGTAGATTCTATAAATCATGTCTCGGTGATAAGCTAATTGCCTTATCCTTGACAGCAGCTCACTGAGAAAGCAATAAAGGGGCAGGATTACAAGACGTCGAACCATAAAGAGCAGGCCAGCGGTGGAGAAAGAGGGAAGGAGAATGATGAAAGACTGGGAATTGAGAGAAATGCACAATAGGAAACTAAAGTTAAGAGTAGAACAGCAAAAGAGGATCTTCAAGATTGATGAAAACGTATGAGTGAAGGCATTAAGTAATGCTATCAGGATAGTCTAGAAGATTCAGGAAGTAACTATTCCTGGAATAAAAGTCAAGAGGACAACAACTTTCCATCAAGAGTGTTGCGGCCTCATAAAAGACTGTGTGCAGCACCTTTACCCTGTTTCCTGTATAGTATCGCTGACACTGCTGGTCAAAAAGATCTCAATAAACTTAATTACTTCAAAGGTTTGGGGTCTATAGGATTTTTTATGTTTTTGATGTCTCTTATACTCACCAAGACTGCATTTATTTGATCGAAAATACAGTAAAACCATTCATATGGTGATTTTTACAATGTTAGGCTTCTATTTTGATATATTTTAAAATGTAATTTATTTCCGTGATGGTAAAACTTAAAATGCTGCTCATAAGATTTTCCCGTTTATCATAAATGAGTCTTATTACTTTGGAATGTGGAGTGAAAATGAGGAAAAATCACTTGAAATTAACTTCTCTCCACATGAACCACAAAATGGGACCAAATAACTATTAAGAAAATTGAAAAATGTTTAGTGGCGTTTACAGGTCCGGTGTGTAAGTGTTCAGCCTGACTGCCTCAGACATTTCCTGCATTGCTTTGTTAGGCCCCATGGCTGCCACTCAATTTAGAGCAGAGCTATTAGAACAAACTGCTCTTGGGGGCACAAAGGTAGATTGGGCATGACGTTAAGAAGCTAATCGTCTAAATGTCCCCTGTGCAAGGACAAACTTTGAAGAACAGGGATAATTGATCCAAAATGGAAAGAGTACCTTAAGGAGTTCATGAATGTGTCTTTTAATCTAAATCAAGCTAGATTTTTGTTTCAAATAAAAGCTGTTCTTTTGAACTTTCTATTTTACGTTAAAAAAAAATATTTAAAGATGCATCAGTTTTCACAAAAATAATAAGCAGCATAACTGTTTTCAACACTGATATTAATAAGAAGTGTTTCTTGAGCAGCAAATCAGCATATTAGAATGATTTCTGAAGGATCATGTGACACTGAAGACTGGAGTAATGATGCTGAAAATTCAGCTTTGCATCACAAGAATAAATTACATTTTAAAATAGAAAACAATTATTTTAAATGGTAAATATTACTGTCTTAATTGTATTTCTGATCAAATAAAACACATTTAAAAATAAATAAATACAAACTATGTGATAATTCTGACTGTCTGTATGATGATCTTATTCGCTTTCTCTTCATGCCTCAAACAGCATAATTAGCCCCTTTTAATAAAAGAAGTGAGGAAATCATTAACTTTCCTGGGGAAATCCTGTCTGTCTTATCCTTTCCAGCCTACAAATAACACAGGTCCTTCTTGACATCACCATGAAAACTATGTGATCTTGATAAGGACCATGGGGAGTTTTATTAAAAGAGACATCTTCCAACCCCTTCACTTCTTTTGTGGTTTGCAGTATTGGATATCAGAAAATGGGACTTTTCCGGCATGGGGCAGAACTTTCACCCCTTCAGTGGGAAAAATCTATATAGGATAAAACCACATCCATCATCATATTACAGTATGTCTGTTCCCTTTTTAAATTATATGTGCCATATATATATATATATATATATATGTATTGCTCTAGCAATTACAACAACCTGGGACCAAAGACATGCCCTTCCAAAGCAGCACTTTACCCGGCTAGGAATAAACTTGCAACACTGCCACAGCCATAAAATCAGAATGTAGAGAAAAACAAAGAGCCACGCTCCAGCACATCTTATCACATATAAAGGGCTGTAAAAGAAACCGAAAGACTCTTGAGCTCCTCAGGTGTGATTGGTATCTGAATTCACATGATTATCTTCAGCCGGTTAAAGCTGTCACACCAAATCTGCTCAGGACCAGTGCAAAAATACCAAAATACGCGACCAGCAAAGCACTCTCAGAACAACATAGATGTTAGCCTACCAACATGACAAGTATCGTTATGTCAATGAATCATATGATATCCTCTTATTTTAAACATAAGAGTGGGTGCAGCCAGCTGTAACTTAAATATAACATACACATATATATATATATGTATGAAGAGTTCAGATGCAAATGCCTCTAAGTACCGAAAATTAGCATTTTTATCAGGCTCCTATATTTATGTTCAGTTGTTTCACTTTAATTGCACAGAAAAGGACCTATACATTGCCATTACAGTAAAATCACTTAACCTAAACATAGGAACCTGATAAAAATGCTCATTTTAGATGAAAATTCCAGACATCACTTAGAGGCTTTGCATCTGAACTCTTCATATACATATATAATCAAAGTCACTGGCTTGTACCATAATAGTTTTAGCGTTTACTGCACTTTGTTGTTTTTATGGCTAATAAAATAAGTCTTGCACATTCAAAGAAAATGACTCACTTTTATATTTCAAAATAAGGTGGCTATCAAGCGATACAAATAATTCAGCTTTGCCTTGTTGTTTGCCATGAAGGAATCTCTTATGATCCATATGGATACAATTGTGAGAAGTAAGATACCATTGATTAAGTTGTGTTGACAAAGCCAACAACATGTTATTTTACAAATTTAAAACAACATTTCAAAATGCATCGTCTGATTAGACATCCCTAACGTTCCCATTTGGTTATTTTTGGGGAACCTAATAAGAACATTCTGGGAACATTTGGGGAACGTTCTGTTTACATAAAGAAAACTTTCCTGGCCAAACAGCAGAGAATGTTAGAACGTCTGTTCATGGGAACAAAAAACTAACATTGCCAGAACGTTATGAGAAACAAAAATGTCTTGCTGGGATACAGTTAAATACAACATACCGTTTAACCAGCTTTAAGATGCGATCTATCTTACAAGCTTTTAAAATTTTAAACAAGGTTTTGTCATCCATACAGCGTTTAGAGTTTCTACTGGCAATCTTTCCAAAGTTTAACATGGTCTTCACAAAATGTATTTTATGAAACCAAATGTGAAATCGTCAGAGCCATACATGTGTTTAAGACTTGATTAGCAGGTTTTTAAACGTTAAACTCCCTCATAAGTTTTTATACAACAGCAGGTGTGTTAAAGTATCGACGCTCCGTCGCTCAGCATTGTAAACCAAGGTTTCCATTCTAGAGACTGTAGGCCGCACAGAGGCGTTTCGCGATGAGAGGGAGCCCTCTAGTGTTTAGGCGCTGAAGTAGCAGACAACACGCTGTTAATGGCTGCTGCAGGCCCTGGCAAGAACAACCCAGGCCCACAGAAATATGCAGAATGAACAAACACAAAATCTTTCAGTCACACATTTTAATGAATCTGACAGGCCGCCTTTGTCACGGGCGGTACCTGAGTGGGCATATGGCATACGCTATGTGCAAACTATACAGTCATATGATTGTGCACAGATCAGAACTGTAAAAAGGCGAAAACGGACACATGCAAATTAATTCTACTCATCTGGAACAGCAGACAGGATGACGGCAAAGACATTTGCTGTGCGATCAAACCTTGACTACTTACATTCAGAAACCTGTTCCGCAGAAGATTACATTAGAAGACTAGCTTGACGGAGTTAGTATGTTGTAATACGTGTTACATATGATGTGTTTTTGCTTTTAAACTTTATTATATGTGCACTTCAATTATATCTAGTCCATTGTATATTCAGACAGACATTTCAAATAGTCAATATGGGTTCTCTCCAACACAATACCACTCAAGCATCAAATGAAAAGAAAATATACATTTACTGCAGAGGTATTCAGACACAAACATTCTTTACATAACAACAGAATGCTTTAAATCAAACCATACAACCAAATGCACTTCGATCAGTCACCCAAATACCCCAAAAATGACATACAGTGCATGACATTCAATGTATTACAGCACTAAGTCACCAAAAATATATCCATTTATAGCAGACATATGTGCTGGTCAATGCGTCACATTTTCTGACTTTCTTTATATTACATTTGCTTTGTTCCGTTTTTTAAAATTTTTACAACATATGTGCTAGGAAAAACCTGCAAGGACCATTAACAAAAACTTGGGCCTCTAATGAAAAGCAATTTAACTGCAACATGTACACAAGTAGTATGGGACACAATCCATGCAGTTGTGCACAGCCAGCATAGTCATGGTATGGTCTTGTTTAATATTCGTATATGACATCAGCGACCAGTGCATCACAGTCTTCATTGGAGATACATTCTACGGTCTGGTTTGGCCTGGACTCAGCCAGACTTGAAGAGGAGAATGGCCACCTGGCCCAAGTAGAAGTAGATGAAGTGTTTCGTCTCATGGGTCACGTAGCTGCCGAAGTTCCTTCCCACAATGCAATGCCACGTAGGATTGTATTTCTTATCGAACTCCTGTAACACGAGACAATGTGGTTTAAGCACTGGAGAAAATGCAAGCGCGACAAAAATACAAGTTAGGAGTCTAAAATAACAGTACGGCTCAAATCTCGGCACGACTCACCTTTTTGATGTATGCGGCAATGTCCTTCTCTATGTTGTATTTCTCCATGGCCTGCGTGGCACAGTCCACTGCATCCTGCTGCATGTCTTCAGACATGTCAGCGTTCTTGATCACAGCCTTCCTGTCGGTCATGGTGCCTGAAAATGTAGAAACGAACAAAGATCAGTCTCCACTGAGAGTCAAACAGTGGGGCCATTCATGGGCGCTTCTTCCCTGACAATGCCAAACAAATTCCTGACAGAATGCCACCAACGGAGAGGATCTGATTTGTTAAGACAATTCAAATGACACTAGATACTTTCATGAGAACCAAGCAGGTCTTTCAGTCCAGCACTAGCATTTGAAGCTAGTCAATAAAGGCCGTATTTGCATACTATTAATGCTGGACCCAGAAAACCAACTCAAACTGTTCTCAAATGACACTTTTTGGAGAGAAATCCAGTATAAAAGAAGTACTTTAACTAGCAATACCAAATACTGGGATAGATATAGTCCAAATGCACAGAAAGCACATTTGCAACCAATCAATAAAGGCCATATCTGCATATAGGCTCAGAGAACCTAATCAAATAGTGGTCAAATTCATATTTTTTGGGGAGTTAAATCCAGTATAGAAGTACTTTTGTTAACTAGCAAACCCAATACTGGGATACATATGGCCCAAATGCATATTCATAGACAGCACTATCATTTACCACTAGGCAATAAAGGCCATATTGACGCTGGGCCCATAAAACAAAGTCAAACTGTGCTTGAATTACAAATATTTGGTTTTATCCAGTATAAAAGTACTTTAGGTAACTAGCAACACCAATACTGGGATACAGATGGTCCGAATGCATACATAGACAGCACTATCATTTGCAGCTAGTCAACAGAACATGTCTGCATACTGTTAATGCTGAGCCCATAAAACCAAGTGTCAAATTACAATTTTTTTTTTTTTAAGTAAAATGTAAACTAAAAGTACTTCAAATTAGTTAACTAGCAACACCAATATTGGGGGTCCATGGAGATTGCACAAGGTAAATGTGTTTGCTGCACAAATGCAAACATTGACAGCACTGCCATATACAGGTATTCGATAAAGGCCATATATGCATACTACTAAAGCTAGGCCCATAAAATCAAGTCAAAATGCACCAAAATATAATTTTTTGGAATTAAATCCAGTATAATGTACTTTAATTCAGCTAAGTTAGTCCATATTTGCATTCTATTATTCCTGACAAGAAAACCAAGGCAAATTGGGCTAAAATTACATTATGTAAAATCCAGTACTTTAAACTAGTTAACCAGCAATAGCAATATTAATATTAGGATTCATATGGTCCAAAAGCATAAGGCAAACTAGTATAGAAAACCACTAACTAATAGATCATACACAGCTGATATCAGCACTTCACACCACATTGATTTAGCAGTTGAACTCAATTATATGGTGGCAGTCAACTGATTCACTGATTAAGGTCTGGATTCATCGATCAAGTCATTGACAGGTCAGGATGGAGGAATGCTACGTCACACCTCCTCCATTCACAGCGTGCGCGTTTGAGGTTCCAGCAAATCAATGAAACTCAGGTGCACGCGGCGTTCTCACTGTAGCGTCTGAATTTCAAAGTCAAATACACGCTTTGCTTTACTGAAGCGATTCAAATAAACAAAAATCGCCATTTATATATCTAAAACGAACGCATCAGGCTCGAAATGCATGCAAAATCATTCTTGTAGATCACCCGAGATGGCAAACTACTCAACTCACCTGTCAGCAATATTTAGCAAGGGAAATTTGCAAGTGAAAACAGTCGTTTCGGATATCCCTTTGACGCTATGAGAGGAACATATGGATCAAGTCAAACGCCGACTGGTGCCCGCGCTAAAATCCCTGGCTCTCCACAATGCCGTCCTACACAGCGCTCGCCATTGGCTGCAGACCAGCCGCTCCCTGCGCCCCTCTGCCAGCATCTTATTTCATCCCACAATGCATCTTTAACCGGAGACCAGAGGGAAATGTGCTTGTTTGGTTATAAGCATCAGGACTGTGTGGGCCAGAAAATAGCTTAAATTAGACTCGGTGGACCTTCGCAATGAAAACACTTTACTGATTGCAAGGTTAGAGGTATTAATCTGTTGTTCCTCTCATGGTCGGTCCCACGCAGTGTAATGCAACTAGAAATGTAATGATTCTGGCTACAATTCCGGTTCATCAACGAATTTTATAGAAATATATGGACAAATGCAATTAATTGGATTTAACAGTCTGCTATCAAATTATGAGATTATTTCAGGTTTCAACAGAATTAGAATGCAGGCATATAGGGCTGTTCGATTCCGAAATTTTTGGAATCGATTCCTCACTGTTGTTTTCTTTTCTTTTTCGATTCTTGTTATTTTAGATTGAAGGAACCTATAATTTCACCATGACTGCAGGATAAAGGTCGTAGAAAGTATTCTTCTCATAATATGAAGCTTTATTTGTAAATAAAAATAAAAATAAAAATGACGTTACATAAATTGTAATTTTGTCTGCTTTGCCCGCCACGGCATGTCTCTGCTGAGCTGTGGGCTATGACTAATAGCCCACAGCTCAGCAGAGACATGCGTTTATCGCATTAATTGAACAAGACATGAAAAGTGTCTAAAATAAATGTGCACAGTTCAGCTGAATGATGAAGTTTACTTTGACTGTAGGCCTGTGCTTTGCACAAAATTAACAAACTGTGTACACTGAAACAAAATAACCAGAACATTAACAATAACTGATAGAGCTCGTGGTTTATCTGTCAATCAGATGCGCTCTCGGCCACTGATCTATGCTCAGGACGTTTTCTTTTATAATTATCATTGACTGATAGCATATGATTCATTGACATAACGATACTTGTCATGTTGGTAGGCTCACACCTGAGGAGCTCAAGAGTCCTTCGGTTTCTTTTACAGCCCTTTATATGTGATAAATACTGTCCCTGCGTTCCATTCGGAAGGGCTCATCCCTATGCCCTAATCCCTTCAAAGGGTTTACTCTCCGGAGTGAGAGCTTTGAAGTGTGTAGGGTACCAAACAACTGTTTCTTGAAGTGCCCTTCTGCGTCGTCATCACGTGCCCACACGGAGGCGCCGTAATCATGCAAAGGATCATGGGAGCCCTAAGTGTCCATCAGTTGTACCCTTCGAAATCCTTCATTCTGGAGTGACCAGCTTGAGCACTTTGGTTTGGAACGACCCTTCAATATGGCGGCCATAATTGTTTTCACTCCGAAGTGCCCTTCGGAGGGCGATATATCCCGTTTGGAACGCACCGTTCATTGTAGTTAAGTAAATGATTCATTCATTCACAAAAAGAACCGGCTCAAAACGAGTCATTCTTTTGAGAGTCGGGAATCCCGACACGTACAACGCTACGAGTCGGGATACACTGATTTGTAGAGTTGTATTTTTTCATTTACTATAAAGAACCGACTTATCTACTGCAATAAACTTATTTTCCCTAACCAATTCTTCGTAATATAATTATCCTAACAGTAGACGGTTTTCAGTTACTAAGCAACACCACTAAGCGCATTAATATAGAATTCAACTTTTGGGCGGCATCCAAAATTAAAGGGACAGCTAACTTTTTTTTAATAGCAGTAGTCCTGTAGCTCTCATAACTGAGCATGGTGTTAATAAAGCAATGTGTTCGATTACCAGATGATGTATCAACTAATAAAATGTGTACCTTAAGTACAATATAAATTAATAAACACAAATAGCTGTCATCATTTACTCAACCTTCACGTCTTTCCAAAACTGCACAACTTACTTTCTTCTGTAGAACACAAATTTTGAGATTTTGAAAAATGTGCACATTTGTGCAACATTGTATGGACAAAAACCGTTGAAACATTCAAAATATTTTGTTCCAAAGTCAAACAAGCTTGACACGCTATGACCAAGTAAATAATTAAAAATTTCTGGAGAACTGTCCCTATAAGTGTCATAATTTCACAATATTCAACAATTCAAAAGCATTAAAAAAAAAAGGCAAAGGAACACACTTTTGTACCAATGAATCCTTTATTTAGGCAAAAACTGTTCACTTAAAAGAAAAATGCTAGCAATGTCAAAGCATCTAACGTCCACATTGGGACAGTGTAAATCTAAAATGCCTGAGTAAACCCCTCCCCATCCCAAATGCACTTTCAGTTTACCATACTGTTCCTGTCGATTCCATCCCCAAAGACTGCTCCAGCATCTGCTCCGCCAATGTGTTAAAAAAAGAGAAGGGCCAAAATGTCTACATTTTCCACTGAGGTATAGAGAAAATAAAGGGGGTAGGGAAGTACTTTTGAATTGCGGCCTTAAAAATCCTATGATCCTGGGAGCAATTGATCCTGTTCCATGTATCCAGCATTCCCTATCCTATCTTCATTATGTACTGATCCCAGTGATCCGGCATCCACTGAGCCTCTCCTCCAATCCAAACCTTAAGATACCAGCAAAATCAAAACAAAGGAGGCAAAGAGTTAGAATCAAATCCACTCAAACCTGCCTTTGATGCATGCATACAGCATTAAGGCCAAGACAGACCATCAAAACTAATAACCTAACACTAAGACTGAATCAAACATGAAAGCTGCAATCTGTCTTTGGACACAAAAACCCAACTAGACGTTTGACCAGTACATCTTTACAATGCAACTAAAGATACCACCTCATTTGAAAGTGATCTAAAGTTGGTTCAGTTACTCAAATCATGCCCTAAGGGCCAACAAGTCTCTTTTTTGATGCAATAGAGGTTTGTTCTAGAGTTCAAATTCACCCCTTTTACGCAAAATCAGATTTAGCAATCCTTTATTACAAAGCATCAGTTCTGTGACACTTATAGAGGAAGACAGCATAAAACAATTGAGAAACCCACTATCCCACGAATAACTTTCATACATGGCATTTACAAAAATATTGGGAGCCATAACATAACCCTTTGTTTGGTCTATGAAAAAGACTTCTTTGTATTTAAAAAAAAAATTAATGGGGAAAAGAAATCAAAGAACTTGGTTAAAAAAAAGCATGTTTAAAAATAACCAATGCAGGGAGAGAAAAAAAAATAAAAAGAACAGAAAGACATTCATAAGATGATCATGGTCTCATGAGACAAGAAGGGTGGAATTAAAACATGGGGTTTGTGTAAAGACTGTAAAAACAAATGGTTCAAGGGCTCCGAGAGGGCATGTTTAGGAGCGAGAGCGGGAACGGCTATGGCGCGGGGAGTACTGCGGGGATCCTCGGCTACGGCGAGGGGAGTAGCTACGGCTACGGTTGTTGCTGCGGCTGCGACTCCTGCTGCGACTGCGGCTCCTTGATCTTGATCTTCCATAGCTCGGACTGCGGGGACCGTCCACCTTCACACGGATGTACGCGGTTTCTCCCTGGCAGAGACAGAACTTTCCATTGAGCAAGTGTAGTTAACATTGTCACTATACTTACCAGACTTCCTGCAATGAAACAATGCTCTTTGGTTGCACACTAGTATTCAACCAGTATTTTATATTATTCAACCTGACTACACAAGACTTCCAGTTTGACAAGGTTTAGCTTTGGTATTCACAAGGAAGGGTCAGCCAATACTGGATTTTGACAATATAATGAATTAGCCGGTAACTGGTAAAAAAAAACACTAATGCTGAACTGTTACAAAATTAAGTGACTTAAGTATGTGCAGTAATTATAAAAAAAAAAAAAATCTAAAATTCTTTTAATTTTGTCATGAAATAATAAAGTGCAAGAAAGGGAGAGAGATTTGTTTTTCCTTTAAGCTGCCATGTACAATATGTATATATTATTTTTACTTTATTCTTACCTTTTTGCACTAAAATGCTTTCTTTAGCACAAAGAAAAAGTTTGTAGAACATGTATGTATATAGCTACCGCTTTCTTACAAAGCAGGCGATTAGACAAGTTAAAAATCTGGGCAGCATTTCCACAACAACAAGGTTAATATTAAAAAGAAATTGATTAACAATACCTACTTAACATATGACAGCAGAGAAACTGATTTCTCCCAGTAATTCATAGTTCCAAGATGCAGCTATTGATGCCAATTAATTGGCTAAATTGCTACGTCAAAATATTTTCACTAAGACAAATTCACTTAAAACATAGAACCTCTTAGCACAACATTAGGATTTGCTTACCTTAGGAATATTCCAATGCTAAGCATATCCAAAAATCCAGATTAAAATCTCAAACCTACCTCATGAGACCGGAATTTTGTGTTATCCAGTTTGCGAACGGCGTAGGTCATGTCTTCTTTGCGAACAAACTCCACCACACCAGTTCCATCTCGGAAAGTATCAGCGTAACATACATCACCTGCTTCACGCATGTGATCCTTCAGATCCTGCCAGCTCCCGCTCGGTGGAAGCCCTGGAATCAAATCCAACAATCAATACAACTTCAAAGATTCTTAAATTAGCTAAAGCTGTGATGCTAACGTACCTGATACGATTACTCTATTCTCTGAACGTCTGGAGGGGGGTCCATATCTACCCCTAGGAGCCCCACCACCACCACCTCCTCCTCCTCCTCCTCCTCCACCACCACCGCCGCCAAAACCTCCTCTCCCACTCCTGGGAAACTCCACTCGAAGACGATAGCCATCATAGTCATACCCATCACGGGCATAAACAGCGTCCTCTGCATCTCTAAAGGAAACGGAGCAGGAAAGCATGTAAATACCAATCTGGCATGAAAAACCAGTCAGTGTGGCTAGAGGTCGCACGGAGTTAAACTACAAATAGCAACTACGGTAATCTAACCAGCTAGTTAAGTGACTTAACACTTAAAAGTAATGCAAAATTGCCTCAAAATACAGAAGAGGTCAGTGCTAAACAGTCATTTGTAGCAAAAACTCACTGAAACTACATTAGTCAACATTTGAAGTGGATAAAAAAAAAGTTAAAGTTGTCCTAAGACAAGAACGCAT